CCCCTCGGACTCAGGTGTCCGTCCCTCCCCGGTCTCCGGTCCCGGGCCGGCGGCGACCCCCGCACTGCCCGCCTCGCCGGTGCGCTCCTGGCTCTGATCAGCCTCAGCCCCAAAATCCACTCGACCTTATTCTACTTAAATCTGCCTTCTTTTATTTATTTTTTTTCTCCCTAAAACGTGTCGTCAGTGCGGTTAAACCTACGGACGGAAAGGACGGAAAGGGCCCGTGTTCGGGATGGGGTTCAGGTTGGGGCTTTACCCCCTATCGCTTCGCCCAGGGGGATTCGTGCTTGTCTTCCCCTCTGAGGAAGATCGTCTCTCTTTAAAGTCAGGTCTCAGCCTAGTTTCAGCGTCCTGTTTACATAAGGAATTAAAAATAGCGGAATTGTTCCTGGGAAAGCCTTTATCTGAGCAGTGCTGCCTCCCCATCCCAAAATCTCGCCCAATTGTCTCCCACCTTCAGGGATTTGGGAGGGTTTTTGTCTTTTTGACATAGATCTCAGTGGTTGGTTGTGTCTCTTCAGCGCTCACGTAGCTCCAAAAGGCACGGCTCGGGTACTAGTGAATTGAATAAAAGCAGGGAATGAATAGCGAATGAACGCAGTGGAAAATAAAATCGACCTAGAGGATTGATAACGCTCGCTTAAAAACAGATAGAAGGGGAAATTATAGACTGAAGATATAAATGAGTGATTGAGCTTGGTACCTCAAAACTTGTCTCGGCAACGTGGACGATCACCGCAGGGACTATTCAAACGCTGCTGGAATACAATGTAAATCATTGGCTGCGTAACCATATTGAACGTAATTGATGCTCAATTGTTTTAAAATGTCAGCGATAAAATATAATTTATATTTAAATAACTGATTTAAATGTCTGTCAAAGCTTCAACATGCTTTTGTTGTGTGGTTAGTTTTCAGACGGAGCTGAAATTTACATCAGCTGAAAATAAAATGCAGCATAATGCAGCCGAGATGCATGTAAACATCCTTATTTTTGGTAGCAGAGAAAGGGTTTAAAAATCAATCCGAATATCATGAATATTTCTTGAATGATGGTTATGTATGCACAAATAATACCAAGCTACAGTTTCTGAAAAATCCTTTTGAGAATCATCAACAAACTGTATGGAAATGTTAGTCAGTGTTGTCTCAGTATGTGTAGCATCAGTCTTCTCGGGCAGTTCTGGGGTTGTTGATCCTGACTTGGATCAAATTTTACCTCGATCCTAACCACTAACTTTCCTTCACATTAAGGAATATTGTATTTGTTTGATTCTGTCCTGTTAAACAAAATGTTTTCCCTGTTTCTGTTCCAGGGCAATAGAAAGTCAGTTTTATTTGCTCTATGTCAGTTTCCTATTTTATTTGCCCCATGGAAGCAATCCTAAATGCTTTTTGGGGGCCAAAACTTACCTTCCTGTCACACACTTCTGTGCCCACAGGAAGAATGTGGTAACAGGGATTTGTTAACAAATGTATTCCACCACAAGCGAGTCGTTTAAGCTGTTGAATGTTTTTAGTTGTCCATGAAAGGGCAGCTGTGTGATGCCAGCTGCTAGGGGGTTTTTTGGAGTGTCAGTCTTTAAAGCAAACTGCTATCTGGAAAGCCAAGGACCATCAACCTAGTTGTTGATTAGCAATTTTAGGCCTTAAATACCTTTGGTTTTGGTTTTTTGTTTGTTTGTTTGTGTGTTTTTAACTGCAGTTACAAAAATCTTAGAATTGGCAGACAAGTCAAAACCTTTCTTTTGCTTTCTACACAAACATCACTGAGAATTAATCAGTTGAATGCTTGGCTTTTGAAGCACTTCTGCAGGTTAATAGGAAAGCTGAAAGTTCTTTTTTATTTTTTTCTTCTTTGTCAGTATAATTTTTTATAATGTGTAGCCAGGCACCGCAGGAAGTCAGGGGAAATGAGTCCTCTTCTCAGAGAAATTTGATAGTTGATCTCTGCTTGGACTGCCAAGAGAGAGAGCCATCGTGGTGAGGGTATTTATTCCTTGAGAGCTGGACACAGTGCTGATTGGCTTCGCAGAAAGAAAACCAACCCAAAACATTGAGCAGACAGTGGAGAACGGTTGCTCTTGAGGCACTTGGGTAGCTGTTGAGCCAAAACCCTCAAGGTGAAGAAGGGCTGCTACCTCTTAGTGGTCTCCAAGGAGCTCAGTCCTTTTTTCCCTTTGTTCGTGCCTTTTTGTTTTCCATTCTTACCTTTTGCACACCCCATGTGTGGCCCAGATTCCTTTACAGCCTGGGCAGTGTTTTGCTGTGCCTGAGAATCTGCCTCTGACCGACTGTGGCCCCATCCATCAGCAGTGGTCAGACCAAGTTTCTGCAAGCCATCTCTGACGGCCAAAAATAGTCCCTTCCCGGGAGCTCTGCCCTCTCCCAGGTGAACTGGCGTCTGCTCGTGTCTGCTAATCTGCAATAGCACCAGCGGCAATGCAGATCCTGGCTTCAAGAATTTCCCCATGGAATCTGCTTTGATACCTGGCTTTCTAATGTGCCTGACCATCTCATAAGTTGCCTACTCCTGTCTGAGAACAACTAGCTTTTCTTGTATTATTTTTTTCCTACTGGAATTGAAGATTGAAATTGGAATTTTGTTGTTTCTCAGCAGATGTTTATCTTTAAAAATGTGACTTGTACAACCTTTGGTTCATCTGTGAGAAGATACTCTGTATAAAAATTAAATTACAATCAGCACTCTTGGCAATTCAGTTGAATTGTTGTAGGTGAAAGAGTGAAATAGATAGCAATGAAATTGTGATTTAAATGTAAAATCAAATACTGAAATTATCTAATCTCCAGCACAGATAAATACAAAAGTGAAAACTGTTAGCACCTTTGGAGTGTATACGGCACCTAATGCATTTGGACTTTGGGCAGTCCTGAAATTCAGACAGTGGTAATGATGAGCAGAAGATTTTTATGAGAGATCTACTTGAACTTTGTTTTGACGTGCCAGGCCTGTAGAGTTTGTACTTTGGCTTCTACTTTTCTGAGGAGGGAAGAAAAAAACTAATGTAAACTCCTCTACTTTGGAGTATATTTTGCTATTAGGTATCATATTGCAGGGCTTTGCACTGTTATAATTTATTAGCAGGCAGGAAAGTGAGGATATAAAAGTAGACTTTTAACTGTTGCCTGTCTTGCTGATACTTTGTGTTTTGGTTAAGGTTGTACGTCTTGCCCACCAAGACTCGCACTCCTCAAGAGAAATCACTGAGCCCTCTGCAGTGGTGCAGGCGTGTTCTGGATCACCCAAGTCCCGAGATAGAGGCTGCAAAACGTTCCCTGTGCTTTAGATTGGAACAAGGTAATCTTTTTCTTTGAGTTTCTTTACTAGTAAATTGGCATTTTGGGTCTGACATTTCACCTGTGTTTGGTGATTTTCACAATTTAGCAAGCTTTACAAAAGACAAACATGCAGTTTTTTTCCTATGTACTTTAGTGTTTCTCAACTACATAAATGCTAACAATTGCTTAATTTTTTTTTCTGATAATAAATTTTTTTAAATGTGCTCCTCCTTTGCTATCCTTTTCTTCCCCTGCATAAGTTGTGTCTTTTAACCTTGGCAGTTTTTATCCATTGCTTAAAATAGTGGACCTCTTGGCAAGAAAACTTGGGTGCTAACTTTACTATTGGTATCTTTATTGAGATTTGAAAAGTGGTGCTTTTGGTTTTTTATGAAGTCAAAATTATCACAGTGCTATAAATTTTTAAAGATGTATTTGTCTATACCTAATGTAGTATCAGGACTTTGCTAAGTATGTGAGGACAGACCAAGAAGAGCTGTAACCTGACTGCTGTCACTGCTTTGTTGGGCTGTTGGCAGTTTCAATTACTGGGATCAATCTGATGGCTGTTTGGTGCCAGTGAACTTGTAGAGTTACATCTGGATGTGCTGAATTTTGTTCTAAATAAATATCAGCCAGCATTATTTTTGCTTTTTTACTGTCTAGGATCCCATTAAGATTGTGATAAGTATTGTTGAAGAAAGGGATTAAGGTAGTATATTATCTTAAGGTTTATAACTCACTAGGGAAGAAGCGGCAAATGAACGATATAGGAAGATGCGAGGAGAAGGAAATAAAGCTAATGACAATATAAGCATATGGTTGTGTAAGCTGGCTCCAGCCCTCATTAAGAGAGATTGAGCTTGTTCCTGTATGCTTTGGAGGATATGGGTAGCTGTGGATTAGTCTTATCCAAAATCAGGTATTTAACTGAATCAGCCTCTGAAGGCATCTGTCGTTGCATTGGCTATAAAAGATCCTACAATTATTGTTGTCCTAGCAATATTTAGTTGAGCTCATTTGTGTAAAGTTAGGTGGGCCAAACTGAGGATCCTATGTTGGTGATCATCCTACCTAGCTTTAGTGTGGAATTTGGCTCATGGTTTGAGCGCCTGAGTTCAGGCATCTGTAGTGTGAGCATGGCAGTCAATGGGAGTTTTGTCCATCAGAGCCAGAGGAGTCAGGGAGCTGCTCAGGTGCTGAGGTGTAGGTGTTGATCTTAGATGAAGCTCTCATTGAGTCTACTGACAGTAATGAGTGTTTGACACTCAGCTCCCATCTGATCACCTGAAGGTACGTCTGTGTGGTGTAGGGCATCCCAGTCTGGAGCTGAATCTGGGGTAGAAGCTCCATCTAGATTGCCCCGTGTAGGCGTCTAGTGCCATTTGAGATGCCCTTGGTTACCCTGGTTTCCACCCAGGATGGATACAGACCTCCCATAGGTCCTGTGCCTTACCTGCCATGCCTTTGATAATATCTTGGCCTCCCAAGGGCCTCGCAGATGAGCAAGAGCATGCAGGTACAGGCAACTGAATCAAGCCCATAATGTGAATGTAGAAACAAGCTAGAGGAGCACATGACCTATTTTTACCTTACAGGGTATTCTTTAAATTTAATAGGCAATAAAGGTAAATTTGTTGTTTCAGATTAAATCAGTCCATGATTTATCAGTTCAATCTCAGTGCAGAAGTCACAACCAGTGCCACATGTCATGGGGAGTTACGTTGACAATGAGTTGCTTTTACCTGCATGTTCTGCTCATGGTGATGGGTTCTTGAATTTCCTGGGCTCTGTAGAAAGTTTCTGAGAATTATATGCCATGTATAAAACCCATTATGGGAGCAGTATGTTCAAGGAGGGAAAGTACTTATGTTTCTTTTGCAGTAATTTTATGCAAAAGTTGTTTTAATTAATAATTCAGTTAGATTGTATTAACTTCTGTATTTCTGAGGTTTTTATTTTTATCATCTGTACCTTTACAATAATATGTAATAAGCTAATGTCCTATTTCTTACCCTAACTTCGTAGAAGTTGGTTTCACAGTATCTATTTCTTCCATGGTTTTTAAACCAGATGTGAGATTTTCATAAGAATCTACTAATGCTCTTTTAAGAGTACAACAAACTTTCTGTTACTTGACTTTCCTGGGTTTTGTTTTGCTGTGCAAAAGTAAGTATATATGTATAAATATGTACACAGAATTTTATCCTAATTTTAAAAGTGATTCAGTAAGAATGGCATTCTTCTTTTCTAGTACCAAAGTTTCAAACTTTGTACTTGTAATTTGAACAGTGTTTTCTCCTTTTAGCTCTGTGCCTTGCAAGGGCATTTTAGAGGGATTCTGAAATCTAGTTGTGCCTCTTCTGTTTGGCACTGAGTCAATGGGTAACACTGAAATGCTCAAGAATTATTAAATGTGTAGTCAAAAAATATTTCTAATGTACCAGTGTGTGACTTCTGAAATGGGTTATAGGTAGAATTCGCTTAGTAATTTTGTGCATGGTGCATTAGGCAAAAATTAATCCAGTTTAGCTTGTCATAGCTCTTCAGGCACTGTAGTGCATAGAAATAAAAACCAGTAAAAATTGATTTTTGTCTGCAAAGTCAACATATCTGAATAAGTACATGCAGGGAGAAGAGCTTTGAGCCAAAAGAAGAAAAATTTTGCCAGGCTATTTCTTCTGAGTTTTAACTAATTCCCTTTCTCTTAATTATTTTAAATCATTTATTCCTGCTCATGTAAATTTTCCTTATCATATTATATCCCAATTTTCATAAAAGTATCAGTTGGTTGTCTAAAGTATCCCAGCGATAGGTTAGCTCATAGCAAAGCTAAAAGTCTTATGGGAGACTTCTGCCAAAGCAGTCCTAGGCAATGAATATGAGCGCTTGGACTTTCAGACTGGAAAGTCACTCGAATGGTGCCGTTTTTACTCTTCTGCTTGTTGTGCTCACCATCCCGTTTCTTTTTCTAGTGAAAATGGCTGTTTTAAGTATTTCATGCTGCAAGTAAGATTTCATCTTGGCATAAGTCTTTAAGGGTATACGCACCGTGGTGGTCTCCAGCAGGTGGTTTCTGTGAACCACTGTGAGAACTTGAACAAGCTTCTCAACGTTCCTCTGATCTACCACTGAGTAGGTAAAGCTTTTATAGTGTTTATAATGAACTAGGCTTATTACAAGCCCCGTTTCTGTGGATTAGGCATGCTAGCTTTAAGGAGGATGAAAGTTAAATGTTACCTCCTATGATAAGATCTTTGCTTGGAATTGTTCCTGTTTTCCATGAGCAATTATAGCGTTGAGGTAATATGTGCTTGTGGGTTTTTGTTGTTGGTTTATTTGTCTCTCTGCGGCGTGACTTGGATCACTTCATTCTTTCAGCTCAAAAAAGAGACCAAAAAAGGTCATATTTTATTTGAAACCTTTCTGGTTTGTTTTGTTAACAGCAGTCCTCTATCTGCTGTAGGATCAATTCCCTCTCCTTTTGTTTTTTAATCTTGCTGTCTATTTTAATTCTTTATATTAACTCAAATCAACAGGGCCACAAAACAGTGTGGTGGAGCTTCTGTATTTTCTTGTTGCACTTGGAGATGTTGGGACACATCAGTATTAAGCCTTGTGAGGAGAGAGATGCGATGTGTAAACTTCCTAGCTGGTGCAGTTAGGTATAACCACTCTGAAATCGATGGGGTGGTGTTGACTGACACCATAGCTGAAGATACCCTGTGTAGCTTCACTGCTCTGAAATGCTCTGGAGGAGGCGGGTGGATAAACTGAGGAGTTAAGAAGCTTAGCAAGGAGCCAGTCTGTAGGAGCTCAGCTTTTATGCAGGGCTTCAAAGCATATCTTGTCCAAGTCAGCCTTCCAGACGGAAAACTTCTTTCTTGGATAATATGAAGTATTGGCTAGATTCAGAATTTGGCTTAGATGAGCTCTTACTCAGAAATGTTGCTTCAGATGTTTAAAAAGAGTAGTCTGTAGGCTTTGCAATTGGCTGCAGTAGTTTATACTCTTAAGATTAAACTCTGCTTCATTTCTTAAAATGAGTAATGTGCTTCAGGACGAATGCTGCTTTGTCATCCGTGGATCATAAGGTGTGTTGTGAAACAGACCCATTGTAGTTTCTCTCCAATTGCTTACAATTTCACAAAACCCAAGAGTCTCATCAGACAAATTTTAGCTTTTATTGTGCTGATCTCAGTGTAACATATCAGTTAAGTTTGATGTCCAAACATATAACATATCCAGAAGAAAAACTAGGTGGGAGGGAAATAATGTGACAATACTATATTCTTTTTACCTGTGAAAAAAGTCTTGCATCTGGTAGGGCTTCAAGCAGAATGCTTTTACCTGGATGTGAAACTTCGTGCTTATGCAGAAAGAGACCAGGTTCTTTCCCATTCTAATTTGCTTCCCCTTCCCAAGGGTTCATAATGAAGTCGTTTAGTTTGGAGTCTTTATGGTATAAATTACATTTCATCAACTCAGAACTGCTGTCATAGGAGACTTTTACACTGTAGTCTGTTAAGAGCAGAAGCAAATGGAGAATACTGTAAATGTAAGAAATCTTTCATTTTGTATGTTTGAACTGGATCCAGTGCTGCACCCAGCACAAGGTAGGATTTTTTTATTATTCTAAAATACGTTTATTTGCTGTCCATTGATGCATCAGCGATATATGTTTTAGCACTCAGATGTATGCTCAGCACTAGACCGGATTAATAAGACTTAATACAGCCTTCTCATCCTTATTTTTCATATGTAATGGAGATTAAAGTTTTATGTAAAATGCTTTTGGGGTGGCGAATTAGAATGTGCTGGTGCTTGCAGATAATTGAATTGTTGTTTCCACCATAAATAATAACATTTCTAAAGCTCTAGAAAGAATGGAAGAAGTGGCACGACTGATTACTTTCCTTTCTGTGTAAGTTTTTGATAATGAAAGGTGATGAGAAGCAGTAACTGCTACCAACATCTGAGTGCCTTTCAGAGAATGAGGACAGGATGCATTGCCATGCT